TCCACGTTTAGTAGTATTGATATTAGAACTAATCAAAAATGTATTAAATAATACATAAAAATTTATATTTAAAACAACAATCTTGAAAAATGTACAGGTTTTTATTTAATTAGTTTTTTGTCATCGAAAAGCAATATATTTGTATAAATATTAAGTATAATTTATTACATCAACACTTGATGTCATTTCCATTATGCATCAGTTACTTTAGTATAAAAATTATATTTTTTACAAATTTAAAAAATTTAATTATACGCAATAAATATTACCATTATTTCGTAATTTTTAGTGTTTCTCAATCATTAGAAAAACGATTAAGAAATTTAAAATATTGATATCTTAAATGCATAAGTTAGACCATATTTTTTATCGGAAATCATTGCTGCTTTTGGTGATTGGATCAATCATTTTGGTTAAAATGAAATTGTAAAGACTGATAAAAAACTTAAAATAAATAAAACACACATCATAGTAATATATTCCTTATTTCACTCCGAAACTAAAATGTAGGTGTAACAATTCCCATGATGACATTGAATATATCTTAAGTAGGTTGTATTTTACAATTAAAAATTTGAATGTACTATACATAATAAAGTAATAGAAGAAATTCTTCAAAATATTTGGTTCCCATTTTTTTTTTTTTTTTTTTTTAAATGATTTTATTATTTAATTAAATAATAAGCTATCTATTCAGAAAATGCATTCAAGTTATCCTATAGTCTGCGAGTTGATCAAATACATTAATTAATCAATCAAAAATTAAGATAATCAATAAAAATAATTTATTCAGTTACCTCGAACAAATTATTGACTATTTTGCTTTAGGTCATATGTTTCACGAGGAATACCTAATTATCGAAGTAACTTTTTAATTTAAATCAAATTTCCATAAATTTTCCAATTCTATTCTACGATAAAGGTTATGGCTTTTAATAATGGTAATGGGCTTTTATTTTACCATATTTATACAAAACAAAATAACTTTGAAAAGAATTATATGAAAACATGAAGGATTATCTAATTGGTTTTTAATAACACTGCTTTTGATTTATTTATATGAAATTCCTCAAAAAATATTTAAAATTTGATTGTTTATTAAAAAATAAAGTGCACTGTAGGTATATTAATATAATATCTATATTATTCATTGATAGTTTCAATTATAGACAAAATGGATTATTTATATTATAAAAACGTGTTTAATTATGCAGTTTTTTAACAGTAAAACCATTTAATATACAGAATATCGTCATACGATATTTTTATCATCGTATTCCTAAAAAATTATACCATTTTATCTTATTAATTAATTTTACAGAAAAACTGTTTATTTACCATAAATTTCTGTATGCAAATAATATTGTACAGATTCAATATTTTGTAATTGAATTTTTATCCATCACGTTTTCAATATTACATATTCATGCTTGGAAGCCAATAATTTTGTTACAAAATTGAATATTCGACGGAAATGGAAACTTTCTATTCATATGAAATAACTTGTATAAAATAAGTAAATATAAATACGCTTTTCATAGCGTCTTTAAAGTGAAATATGAAAGTTTGTGTAAAAGCAAAGCAATTGATTTTGAATGTTTATAAATAAAAAAGAAAAAAGTTGACTAAACCACAGAGTCTGAGTAAGAAATATAAATTGGGTTGGTCGTAGGCAGTGTTGTGCTTAGATAAAAAATTATCTAGATATAGATAAGATATCTGGATTTAAAATTATCTAGATACATCTAGATATAGATAAAATTATTTTTATCTAGATATTTATATGAGGCATCAACATTTTCATCCGTTTATAGGCGAACTCTTTTGGTCTTGGATAATGATTGTATTATGTAACGATGCATTTCAAAATATAAAATATTTCAGGAATAAAATAAAATTGAAAGTCATAGACAAAATTATGAAAAATATGAAGACGGTCTGACGATAAACACTGAACACGTTGTGGATGAGAGTGCGCTGCGTACAGTACAAGTTTTTAATAAATAACGGACGTTTCACGCCTAATATTTATTTTGTTGTACAATAATATTTATAGACACATCAAAGTACGAATTCATAGAATTGGGGTCCGGTAATGACAATTATTTAGAGCACATGATTACATGACAATGGACATGATTTATATATAAATATTGAATTTAAGGCGGTCGATGGAGAACGATCAATTTCTGTGTAGGTTACAGGGTAATGCGTATTGTAGTATTGCTATTTTCTTATTGAAAATTATTTCTGTATTTTAGTATTTATAAACCATCTACCGCGCAGCTGTAATAATCACATCCAACACGGTTTTCGCCATAACCACAGTACCTCTACCCAACTTCTCACCGTTATCGACGCCATCGTAAATAATTTCAATAAACGAATCAAGTCTGTGGCTACCTTGTTGGACGTTGAAAAGGCGTTTGATAAGGTCTGGCACGACGGCCTTATTTTCAAACTCTCAGCACTAAACCTTCCAGTCCAACTCATCAATATCATCAAATCTTTTCTCTCAAACAGATCATCACCACAATATATATAATGCATTTTAAATTTCATAATAAAATTCGATAACATTTTAATAGCATATAAATTAGCTTGTAATAAATTGTATTATAGAATGTTGGAAAAAATAACGGCAAATGTATTTTCATTTATAATTTTTTATTTAACAAAATTCTGAGTAAGACATTATAGTATAATCTTATAGTTTCTATAAGAATCGCATATCACATGCAAACGTCACTAAAAATGTTCAATATTTTCGATTTATAATATAATAACATAATTTGATTTTGTTAAAAACTTTGTTTCACATTTTTCTTTTTTTAAAAAAAAAAGACTACTCGTACGTAGTTTATTTAGTTTTGTTTTTAAACAAAAATGACATCTTCAAATGAATTTTATTGAATTTTCTATTAACGAATTGGCTTAAACAGAAAATTCAAGGCATTTTCACTGATACAATGTAAAACTAAAAACCTTAATTTAAAATTTGCTTCCCTCATAATCTCATATATAAATAAACAAGTCAAATATTTTAATTAAAATCTACAGTCCGAAAGTAGCTGTGATGATTATATACTTGTATAGTGATGTTAGTAGTGCTCAATATTAGTTGTGGTGGCCTAGTATAAATTTACAAATGATCACGCATTGCAACTATAAATTATTCAAAAGAAACTGATTTCGTTGAAATCACGATGTATGAGTTGGCATTTGCTGTAGGGGCATTAACCTCGAGGGCTTTTTTTTCAGCTCATGGCAACCTGTCAAATATTCAAATCAAATTAACAATATGCTAAAGTGTTACGCGTAAATCCCAGCTTAAAGGAGTCACGGTTTTTGTTTTCTCACGATGTACATTTTAAATCAGTATTTACGTACTCGGACGTCAAACAGCGATACGTAAATTATTAAATATTTACGCTTTTCGTGCGGTGTGGGGCTGGACGTCTACTATGAACTACTGATCGACATGTTTTGTTTTTGAAAAAATATAAAAATATAGTGCCCTCACGGTTTGAAATCGACAGACCAAGTTAGCGGTCGACTTGATGAAGAATATTTTATACATATTATATCTTATAGTTTACATGATAGCGAGCACATTAGGTATACGTAGGAGAAGACATTGAAGAATAGTAGGTGGAAGTCATGTAGAACGATATTTTATTTCGGTCTAAATATTAGTTTAAATATTATTATCTAAATATACAAATGCACAAACGGTACAATCTACTTTGACACATTCCGACCCATTACATACCATAACTAATATTTTTATTGAAATAATAATTTATTTTGAAATGTTTGATTGCAAATGTAAGAAATCTTTCTTTCTATCTACTCGTTCGAAAAATACAAAAACAAGTCTGTGGCAGTTGGTACCTGTAGTACCTATTGCGGAGATGTATGATATTGTAGTATTATTGCATACGCCGACCGACGCTAACGTGGGAGTATAATAAACGTTTTGATTTATCGATTATTTTAATATTTTTTTATTTTATTTTTTCAAGCGTATAATTTTTACGGGGATGGATTTACCGAGCACTGTAATGTGCACAGTTAACATGTGTAAAGAGACTTAAGCAAAATGAACAAGTAGACTTCGCGTTGGGAGTGTACACAAGTATAGTACAATATATTACAATACGTGTGTTGGGATTTGGTCAAAACATGCGCTACTTTCACGGCTACAAATCGGATCGGCGGCGGCTCGTTTAACGCACGTTTTCAAACTGTGACGAAAGTAGGAACATAAACATAATAATATAGTTGCGCCGTAACTGTGTCGGTAACCGTATCCGCGGCGAATAACGTGCTAGTAAAACCCGCGTGTATCTGGACGGCGCACGACGTGTCAACGATTTTTTCAGCCGGTTTGCAGGTTTACGACCTAAGGGGTGCAGCGCACGGCGAAAACGGTCAACAGACACAAAGATTCGTCGAAACGGAATCGTATTTCACACGTGTACATTACAATAATAATAATAATAATAATATTAAATGTACCGAATTCGATAGACTTGGATGGTCTTTTTTCGTCAATCTCTCAGAAGTTTCTCTTCAATCGCATATTGTTCATCTATCTTTCTAATGTCTCTCCCGACAATAAACAATAACCATCCCGAGGCGTTTATCAACGATGACCACTCTATTACACCGAAATCACCCGAACAAAAGGACTTTCCTACCCCCCGCAGGTCGCGAATTTGTCACTATCACCACGGTCGTTAACATTGAACCGTACGCGTGTACACGATAACCGTGGCGCGAGGGTTGGACGGAGAACGCGGCACACCTGTCCGTTGTCGCGTCACGAGCCACATCACACGTAGGGTGAATCTGCATACATAAAGTCACGGCGTTCCATCAATCGTAACAGTATCGTATTCATAAGTTATTATTGTTATACTCGGTACGAGTATAATAATAGTAGTAGAAGTACTAGTATTAATGTAACGTAATGATAATCGATGTTTATAATGTACCTGTCCATTTCGAACGTCCACGCCTCCGCCGGAGTCTTTCCGTCACGCGTTAATCCATGCGCTCCTAAGCAACAAAACAG